ATGTTTGGTAGAATTCACCAGTGAAGCCATTTGGTCCTGGCCTTTTTTCCTTGGGAAGTTTTTTATTATGGATCAATCTTTTTACTCATTTTATTTAGATTTAGGTCTGTCTGGATTCTCTGTTTCTCCTTGAGTCAGTTTTGGTAATTTGTGTGTTTCTAGGAATTTGTCTCTGTCATCTAGGTTATCTAATTTTGGCATATAATTGTTCGTGGTATTCTTAAAAAAAAAAAAAGTCAGGTGCAGTGGCTCACACCTATGATCCCAGCACCTTGGGAAGCTGAGCTGGGAGGATTGCAGATTGTTTGACACCAGGAGCACAAGACCACCCTGGGCAACATAGTGAGACCCCATCTCCACAAAAAACTTTTCGAAAATAGCCAGGCGTGGTGGCGCATGCCCATAGTCCTAGCTACTCAGGAGGCTGAGGTGGGAGGATCACCTGTACTCAGGAGTTGAAGGTTACAGTGAGCTGATTACACCACTACATGCCAGCCTGGGCAGCAGAGCAAGACCCTGTCTCTGGGGTAAAATGCTGTTGTGGTCACAACACTTAACATGGATCCACCTCTTAACTGTGCAAGTGTATGACACGTGACTGTCCACCACGGGCACGATGCCACACAGCAGATCTCTGACGCTCGTGCATGGCGATGACTAGCACCCCCATTCCTCCTCCCCGCGGCCCTCCCTGGTAACCACCGTCCACCTTTGATTCTGTGAACTGACTGCTTTAGATGTTTCACATAAGCGAATCGTTTGGCGTTCGTCTCCCGTAACCCTTTCCTATTTCCGTAGGGTCAGTAGCCACGTCCCCACTTCCATTTCGGGATTTCGTCTTGTCCTCTCTCCCATCACTGCAGCTGGAAACGTTCACTGATCTTTTCAAAGAACAAACTCTTGCTTTGACTTTTCTCTATTATTTTTCTATTCTTTTCCATTTATCTCCCTCTGAGCTTTATTATTTCCTTCCCTTTTGCTAACTTCGTTCTCACTTTACCCTTTTTATTCTTACTCCTGCTCCTTAGGTGTGAGGTGAGGTTACTGATCTGCGATCTTGTTTAACGCAGGCATTTACCGCTGTACGTTTCCTTCTGATCACCACTTTTGTTGTATCCCACACATTTTGGTGTGTTGTTTTTGTTTTCATACATCTCTAAGTGGTTTCTAAACTCCCTTGTGACTTCTTGTAGGACCCATTGGTTTATTAAGAGTGTGATAGTTAAGGCCGGGCGTGGTGGCTCACACCTGTAATCCTGGCTCTTTGGGAGGCCGAGGCGGGCAGATAGCTCGAGGTCAGGACTTCGAAACCAGCCTGAGCAAGAGCGAGACCCCGTCTCTACTATAAATAGAAAGAAATTAATTGGCTAACTAATATATATATATAAAATTAGCCGGGCATGGTGGCGCATGCCTGTAGTCCCAGCTACTTGGGAGGCTGAGGCAGAAGGATTACTTGAGCCAGGAGATTGAGGTTGCTGTGAGCTAGGCTGACGCCACGGCACTCACTCTAGCCTAGGCAACAAAGCGAGACTCTGTCTCAAAAAGAAAAAAGAGTGTGATAGTTAATCTTTACATTATTTGTGAAATTTCTAGTTTTCTTTCCTCTTAACAAAAGACTCACATGAGATCTACCTTCTTAACAAATTAAGTGTACCCATTTTTAAGTAACTTTCAGCTTCATTCCATTGTGGTTGGAAAGGTTATGTCTTTTTAAATTTATTAAGACTTGTTTTGTAGCTTACTATATGGTCTACCTGGAGAACAAGCCGGGTGCACTTGAGAAGGCTGTGCCCACTGCTCCTGCTGGGTATTCTTCACGCGTGTCTGCTTGGTCTGGGCGGTCTGTGCTGTCGTTCAAGTCCTCTATTTCCTTACTGATCTTTTGTCTGCCTGTTCTTAAAGATGTCCTATTTTTCTCCAACTTCTGTTATAGCTCTATAATAGAACTATTGTCTATTTCTCCCTTCAATTCTGTGAATGTTTGTGTTTTGAGGCTCTGGTGTTTAGTGCATATTTATAACTTTTACACCCTTGTGAACTTTTTCTTTTGCCTTCCTCTATGTTCTAAGAACTGACTCTTACAGGTAGCAGAGTTGCACAGCGGAAGTGTGCTGGGCTCTTAAGAATTGACTCTTTTACCCATATGTAACGCCATTCTTGTCTCTTGTAACTTATCTAAGTACAGCCACCTCAGGTCTTCTTACTTTACTGTTTGCATGGGATTTTTTTTTTCGAGACAGGGGCTCACTCTGTCGCCCAGGCTAGAGTGCAATGGCGTCATGATAGCTCACAGCAACCTCAAACTCCTAGGCTAAAGGGATCTTCCTGCCTCAGCCTCCTGAGTAGCTGGGACTACCGACGCCACTACCATGCCCAGCTAATTTTTTCTGGTTATTTTTTGGTAGAGACGGGGTCTCACTACATTGCCCAGGCTGGCCTCAAACTCCTGGGCTGAAGTGATCCTCCCGCCTTGACCTCCCAAAGTACTGGGATTACAGGCATGAGCCGCTTGGCACTCAGATGGGTATTTTTTTTGCCCTTCCCCCTTCAACCTATCTGTTTTTGAGTGTCCTGGAAGTCTCTTGCAGACAGCATGTGGCTGAATTGTCTATCCATTTTGCCAGTTTGCCTTTTGGTGGAGAGATTAATCCCTTTACTTTTGAAGTAATTACTGATAAGGAAGTACTTCTGCCATTTTGCTATTTCTGTGTCTTATACTTTCTTTGTCCCTCATGTTCTCGGTTATTGCCACCTTTTGGTTTAGTCGTTTTCGTAATATACTCTTGATTCCCTCGTCAGTTTCTTTTGTGTTTAATTTTTAGATACTGTCTTAGGGTTACCGTGGTTACGTGTGACTGTGTCTGAACAAGTCAGGTTGAGAACCTCACTGTGTCTCGCTGAGTCCGAGGCAGGCAGTGGTGGCTGACGGCAGCGGTGGGGGCGGGCACCAGCACGTTCGCCGAGAACGGAGGCCGAGCCGGGTGCAGATGCAGAGGCTGAGCAGTGGGGGCGGGGCGGGGTAGGAGCCCCAGAACCTGCCACCGCGCAGGGCTCAGCACGTGCGCTGGACACAGGGTGTGGGTCGGTCGGGGACAAGCACAAGAGGGGACTCAGGGCCCGTGCCAGCCACTAGCCTGAGCAACCTGTGCTCCAGGTGCCGACTTCACCAACACCTTCTACTCGCTGAGCTCCTTCCCGGTTGAGCCGGAGTCCCCGGACCTGGAGGAGTTCCTGGCCGTGCTGACCGCACAGTGTGCCTCCCTGGAGGAGCTGAGACTTGCCTTCCGACCCCAGATGGATCCCCGGTGGGTACCTGGGTCTTGCTTCCTTGGAATTTATTTCCAGAAAGGGAGGAATGTTCAGAAAATGGGTTCAAGGGGAACGTTGGAGACAGCTGGCTGGGGCCGTGCAGGGGCCCTGGCGGCCACTCCCGTCCCCGGGATGAAGGCAGCCAGGTCCTATCTCTCGACATTGGGACCCGATGGTCACAGAGAAGACAAGTGACACTGACACAGGTGTGAGTGAGCCAGACAGCACGGCTGGGTGACAGTGGCCTCGTTGCCCAGAACAGTCTCTGGTTTACCAGGGAAGGTGGGCGCTCAGGTTCCCAGGCAGATGACGCTTTCCTGCACTGTCCCCAACAGGAAGAGCACGTGCGTGGACGGTGCTGGCTGTGGCAGTGACAGACCCTGGTCACAGGGGAACTCGGGGGGTGGGGCTGTGGGCGCACAGGCCAGCAGGGCCTGCGAAGCCTGCTGGGCAACAGTCCTGATAGCAGAGACACCCCACACGCACTAAGCCCTGGGGTCTTCCTGGTGTCCATGGAAACGGCAAGCCGCAGAGACCGTCCCTGCCCTCAGCAGGACAAGGGATGGGTGGTGGGTGCCCACCTGGGCACCACAGCGGGGCTCCAGGCTGGGGTGGGGACAGGGCCTCCCAGCAGCCCAGGACAAGCCTCGTGCTGCCCCCTCCCCCCGCAGGCAGCTCTCCATGATGCTGATGCTGGCGCAGTCGAACCCGCAGCTGTTCGCGCTCATGGGCACGCGGGCGAACATCACGCGGGAGCTGGAGCGCGTGGAGCAGCAGGCCCGGCTGGAGCAGCTGAGCCCGGCCGAGCTGCAGAGCAGGAACAGGGAGCACTGGGCCGGCTGGCTCCAGCAGTACAGGTGGGTCCACGCGCCAGGGTGGCTACAGAGCGCGTGGGGGGTGGGGGTGCCTTGGGCCCCACCTGCCAGGAGAGCCCAGCCCGGATGTGATTCCAGAGCCCGGCTGGACAAGGACATGGAGGGTGTCGGGGACGCCGCTGCCTGGCGGGCCGAGCGCGTGCGCGTGATGCGCGCCAACAACCCCAAGTACGTGCTGAGGAACTACATCGCACAGAACGCCATCCAGGCTGCCGAGGCCGGAGACTTCTCGGAGGCAAGCGCACGCCTGCCCCTGCGCCACCCCCGGGGCGGCAGGGACGGCCTCAGACCCCCAGCCTCCTCTCCCCAGGTGCGGCGCGTGCTGAAGCTGCTGGAGACGCCCTACGACAGCGACAGCGACAGCGGGGCGGCCAGGGAGCCCGAGGAGCCCGAGGGGGCGGCCGGCCGGCGGCTCTCCTACAGCAGCAAGCCCCCGCTCTGGGCGGCGGAGCTGTGCGTGACGTGATCCTCGTAACCGCCTCGCGGGCTCCAACGCCTGGAGTCTCCGAGGCCCTCGAGTGCTGCGGAGTCACCGAGACGGCGCCGGCTGCCCAACGCCCGCCTCTCCATGACGACAGAGACGTCCAGTCGGGACCTGACCCGTCTCTGCCTGACCCAGCTCAGCAGCACGGCCCGGCCCAGGGAGCTCGGCCTCGTGCGGGTGACGCGGGGCCAGTCCCAGGGACGGGGCAGCTCCTCCAGCCCCCACCGTGTCTCCCGGGCCCCTAAATAAACCACCTGCTTCCTCAGTCGGCCTCCGTGTGTCATTCCTCCCCTGCCCTGTCCCCAGCCGCGGAGAGAAGAGGCAGTGACGGGCTGAGGGCACCTTTATTCCTCGCGTCCCCGAGGAGCAGCCTCAGGTGTCCTGGTAGTAGTTGTTGAAGTTGATGCGCAGCAGGAAGTCCTCCAGGTGGGGCTGGTAGCCGCGGTTCACCAGCTTGGTCACCACTGGGGGACAGCGAGCAGCTCGGACCTCTTCCCGTGGCTCGGGACCCTGCACGCGCTGACCCCGGGCTGACCCCAGCCCCACCTGGCCGGGGGCTCACCTTTGAACAGGAAGTGGGAGTAGTACTTGAAAGTGCTGTAGGACTGCTGCATGAGGGCGAAGTTGGGGTGCTCAGCGCCCCGAGGGCCGCCGGCGGGGCCCCAGGCCTGGGCCATGAGCTGGCTGCGGAACTTGAGCACGAGGCTGAAGACGCTGTGGATGATGTTCATGACCGGCGCCGCCTTCTCCGTCAGCAGGCCCCTGCCGGGACGAGCGCTACTGTGTGGGCTGCGCCCGGGGTTGGGGTGGGGACGCGGCCCCCAGCGCCCCCGGCCTCACCTGAAGACGGCCTTGTGCAGGTACTCGGCGTGAGCGCGCTGGATGTCCTCGAGGTCTCGCACCGCGGCCAGCCGGGCCCTGAACTCGCACCAGGTGACGTGCAGGATCTGGTTGGCGATGTAGCCCTGGATGACCTTGACGAAGTGCTGCATCTCGTGCTTGAACAGCTGCAGCTGGCGGAACTGCACGGAGCTGGCCATGTGGCTCACCAGGGCTGCGGGGGGCAGGGCAGAGGGTGAGCGGCAGCCCCGGGCCCGGGGCAGGTCCCGCCGAGCAGCCTTACCTGTGCGCTTGAGGTGGAAGCAGACGTCCTTGAGCGTCCACATCATGAGCTTCAGCTGCAGCAGGAAGGAGAAGATGCCGCTGTACTTGCCCAGGCAGCTCTCGGTGATGACCATGTTGAGGGGCCAGTCGACCTGCTCAGGAAGCCCCGCTCAGCACGCAGCCTCAGGGCCAGGTCCCCCGTGCCCCCCATTCATGTGTGAGAGCCGCTGCTGACCTTGTACCTGAGCTCCAAGCAGCTCAACACGTCCGGGGCGTTAGGCGCAAACACCTCCGGCAGGTACTTGAGGGCGAAGGAGAGGTTGGCGGCGTGCGGGGTGTCGCCGTGCAGGCTGTACTGCAGCGCCTTGCTCAGGACGGAGTTGAGGACCAGTGGGTTGAGCAGCTCCCCCGGCGTCTGGCCCGCCCCGAGCTGAGGGGAAAGACAGGCATCCAGACAGTCCCACGCCAGGACAGTCCCATGCCAGTCCACAGGACCCAGTGCCCCACGCTGTGCCTGGAGGGCGGGGACAGGCCTCCCCTCCCAGGGAACCTCCCCTCTGCAGCCAGCACCACCCACCCTGCACCAGGCAGGGGACCTTGGATCACCTTCTCGAAGAGCAGGTCGCTGAGGGACTGAGCAAACTCGCCGTCCTCCATCAGCAGGAAGTGCCGCAGGGCCTCGCAGTGAGCCTCGAGGTGCAGCTCCACAAAGAAGTAGTCGACTGCGGCCTTGTTCACCAAGGAGATGCTGCGGGGGAGCCAGGGTCAGGGGTGGACAGAGGGCAGGGACAGCAAGGGGTGGGCAGAAGGTGAGCAGAAGCAGGGAATGGGCAGGGGGTGGGCAGGAGCAGACATGAGTGAGCAGGACTGACCAGGGGGTGGGCAGAAGTGAGAGCGCAGGGGGTGGGCAGGGATGACCAGGGGGTGGGCAGAAGGTGAGCAGAGGCAGGGGTGGCCAGGACTGACCAGGGGGTGGCAGAAGGTGAGCAGAGGCAGGGAGGGGCAGAAGGTTGAGCAGAGGCAGGGCAGGGGCAGGGGGTGGCAGAAGTGAGCAGAGGGCAGGGACGCGGCAGGGGTGTAAGGGTGGGCAGGGAGCAGACATGAGGTAGCAGGACTGACCAGGGGTGGGCGAAGGTGAGCAGAAGCAGACGGGCAGAAGGTGAACAGAGGCAGGAGCGGGCACAGGTGGCAAGGGTGGCAGAGGGCAGGTACAGCAGGGGGTGGCAGGAGTGGGCAGAGGAGATGAGCATGGGCAGCGGCAGGGTGGACAGCGGGGTGGGCAGGGAGCAACCATGAGTGAGCAGGACTGACCAGGGGGTGGGCAGAAGGGTGAGGCAAAGAGGGAGCGGAGAGGTAACAGAGGCAGGGAGCGGGCAGGTGGGCAAGTAAGCAGAGGGCAGGTACAGGCAGGGGGTTGGCAGGGGAGTGGGCAGAAGGTGAGCAGAGGCAGGGAGCGGGCAGGGGGTGGACAGGGGGTGGGCAGGGAGCAGACATGAGGTGAGCAGGGACTGACCAGGGGGTGGGCAGAAGGTGAGCAGAAGCAGGGAGCGGGCAGAAGGTGAACAGAGGCAGGGAGCGGGCAGGGGGTGGGCAAGGGGTAGGCAGAGGGCAGGTACAGGCAGGGGG